CCAAGGCTTGGGCTAATGCATTGCTTCCACGTACCTGGACCAATGGATGGTACACACGTGGTGTCCCATGGTTGGAAGCCCTGAGACTTATAAGCTAAGAGCAGGGGCCTCGAGGGAGAAGAAGGCTGATGTAACAGTGCAATAAAAGCTGCGCAGACACAACCAGTGGTCGCATCTTCCTTGCTGGCAAGGCCGCGCGCGACGTGTGTATGTGTATGTGTGTGTGTGTGAGCGAGCCAGGGTCTCACTATACAGCTCAGGCTGGCCTTGAGTTCACTTTGTAGCCCAGGCTGGTCTTGAACTCACAACGATCCTCTTGCCTCAGCCTCCCAAGTGCCCCCATGCCTGGCCTCCAGCCACCTCCTGATGGACACAGATGCAGGCTGCTTCCAAGATTTAGCAGTTCTCAAATGTGCAGCCACAGACCGCGGGGGCCTGCCTTGCTATGACAGAACAGAGACTCCCCTTGAGCTTAGCCAGAAGGCCGAGAGGCAATCGCGCTGCTGTGACGTGATGTCTTGAACTCTTAGGAGGGCCCTGCTCTGTGGAACAGGACCCTGGCTCTAGCCCTGGAGGACGCTCCTACTGCCCTCCACAGTGGCTGTACCAGGGTGCGCCCTGCCAGCGGCAGCCTCCTGCATTTGTGACTGCTTAGTCTCCTGGTGACGGCCGTTCTTCCCTGGGGGGGGGGTGGCCCTCAGGGTTGCCCTCACATTACACATGGTCCCTCCTTGGCCACCAGGTCATTATGGGGAATGACTGGTCTGTCCCCGCCAGAGGACCCAGGGCACCCAACACCGGGCGGCTGAGGCCAGCCACATGCTCACCACTTAGCAATCCTGACTCATTTTCCCCAGAGTCCCGCCAGGGCGTGTGGGTGTGGAAGGTAGCACTTACCCAGGATGTCTGGTGCAGCCCATTCAGCAGCCAAGGTGGCAGATGTGGTGCAGAGTGGGGCCCACGGGGTCACCAGGTGAAGCACAGGCACAAAACCAAAACACAAGATCAGGTGCCAGTGGCTGGCAGCAGACAGGACGGCAGGGCCTACGGGGAGTGATGGTGGCTGGGAAGGAAAGCAGGCCTGCCCAGGGTGGCCCAGAGCGCCCAGGAGCAGGTGCTCACAAAGGACCGGAGGCTGCCACCATCTGTCCATGGTCACGCAGGCAGGAGGAGCAGAGCTGTCCTCCGGGATCTCCTCGCCCACCCCTCCGCCACAAGGACAGGGGCATCTCTGAGAGGCCCTGTGCCTTCGGGGACCAGCCAGGCAGGATTCCTTCCCCAGCAGAGGCCCAGCTCTCAAGGGTGCTGTGCACCGTCTCCCTGCTGCAGAGAGCCTCCTGGTGGCCCTCACTGGCACACTCACAATTAAGGGGGAAAACTGGGCTGGGAGCTGAGGCGGCCGGGGCCTCTGTGCCTTACTCCCTGGGGCCTGGAGTTGAGTCCCAGCTCACGCACCCCTCACTGGGCAGCCACGGAGACCGCACAGCCGTGTGGCTCTGCAAAAGTCCCGTCACCACATAAGCTGCGGTGACAGCCAACGTGAGCAAGCCCAGAGCACAAGCCTGGCTCCTGTGGGCCACAGCGGCCGTGGCAGTGACGGTGACATCAGCACTGGTGGGCAGCTGTGTGCACAGCAGGAGTGGTGGGGGGGCTGCTGAGCCGGGGGTTCCTTGAGCTGAGCGAGTTTCCCATCTGTGACAGCACTGAGCTCAGGAGTGTCGTGTGGCTGCCGGCTCTAAGGACAGGCTGCTGGGCGCCAGCCCGGTGCACTTCCTGAGGGCTGTCCTGACCCGACTCGGCCTCCCGAGCTCACAGGCACACCCACGGGGCCAGGTATTGCCACACTGGGCGCATTCTCAGTTGTAACAATTAATGAAGAGACCAGGAAGACACCAACTTTTTCTACCTGGCCTCAGCAAACAGATTCACGGGAGCCGCCCAGCTAGGGAGCCCAGCTCCGCTGCTTTGCGGGTCCTCTCTTGGAGGCGCACGTGGACAGTCCCTAAGGTCGGCCCACCGGGGGTGCTCGGTTTGGAGGGGGCGAGGGAAGGGTGGTGTCCTTCTCAGCCTTCTGGTTCCCAGTTGGGACCCCTGGCAGCCGGGGCAGGGCAGAGAGCAGGGGACAGAAGACCTCACCTTTCAGCACTGCGCAGCGGCAGGAGGGTGCCGGCAGCCAGATCCGGTTTCCCGCGAGGTTGGGAGAGAAACGGAATGCGAGTTAGGTCAGCCTCCACCCCGTGCACCCCAGGTCCTGAGCTCGCGGGGAGCAGATGTAAGCCGCACCCCGCCAGGGGGCGCGCTGTGACGCGTGCATCCCAAAGCCAGAAGCCGCGGGCACCTGCAGCCCAGGGTAGCCCGCCCGGCCCGCCCACCCGGCCTGGGACGCGCAGGAGGCACTGGCACCAACCCGTGTCCTTGCTGTGCCCTGCTCTGATCTAAAGCCCACACACGCTGGCCGGAGGGTCGAGCGGAGGCTCCCAGGGGCGCCGGCCCTGAGCCGCGGCCGGCCAGGCACACAGCCCGCGGAGCCCACGTGGCGGCGCGCACACGCCCGCGGGAGCTCCCGGCTTGCCTCCCCCGCCCGCCTCGCGCTGGGTACGGCGAGCCCCAGCACCCCGCCCCTCCCCCATAGGTAGAGAGATAAGTGACTTACGCTTGACTGGAAATGCAGACAGCCAGAGCCAGGAGGGCAGCGCAGACGGGAGGGAAGAGGACGGCACGTCAGCGCCGGCACGCACACCCTCCCGCTGGCCTCCTCGCACGCTTATCTCCCTTCTGCCCCGCCCTCACGTGCCTGCTGTCACACCCATGCAGGGACCCATGCGGGGACCAGGGAGTGACCCTGTGTCGGGCCACAGGTGTGGGGACCTGGGGGCTGGCTTCGACTGCCCAGGCCCGCACTCACAGGGGGAGCTAGACTGGTAAAGAGGTCAGTTTGACAAACGTAATAGACAGCGTGAGCCTGGAGCACAGGAGTAATAGAAGGTTAATTATACAGTGCGATGCAAGTGCCGGCCGGGCCCCAGACCCGCAGCCGCAGCATGCACGGGATCAAGCGCCTGCAGACCTGTGTCTACACCTGCACTCCCTGTCCCCAACCATAAACTGCGACAGCTCCCTCCCCAGAGAGTTTCTAGGGGTCACGCAGGACCTAGAGACCAAGGCACCCCAGTCCACATGAGGCACCCCAGAGTCGGTACCGCAGGGGGTGCTGTAACCGACCCGCAGTCAGGGTGACTGCGCCCGTCGACATAAAGCTGCAGACGCTCAGGGCGGGAGTCGGGACTCTACAGAAACAGATCTGATGTCACAGAAGACTGTTTTGCTTTTGCAACAGTGATTTAAAAAGCAAACTATCGGGGTAAGGGATATAGCTCGGTGGCACAGTGCCTGCCTGGCAAGCACAAAGTCCTGAGTTCAAGTCCCGGTACCAGAAAAAACAATCAAACTATTAGAGACAGCCTGAGTAAGGAGCCAGCTAGCCAATTATGCATGTGAACCAGGGAAGCCCAGAGGCCGAAATGAGCAAGAGAGAGACCCGCAGCTTCCTCGGGCCTGGCCTGGTGGCCTTCGGGGTGAACTCTCCCCAGAAAGCTCAAGGTGCGCTCAGAGCCATGTGTACAGCCCGTTGTCTCTCACGTGAAACTAGAGGCCAGGTGTTCAGCGCAGAGACACCCCCTTGCTCATGTTTGTGTAGCTACCCCTGGACGGACCCAGGAGAAACTGGGCGTGTCGGACCCCTTGGGGAGGGCAAGGGGTGAGTCAGCGGAGAAAGAAAATCCTTCTTGGTGTTGCCTTGAGAATGTTAGAATTCTGAACTCTGGAAATCTTCTATTAATGCAAGTAAAATATTTTAGATTTAAATAACATGTCTTAAATTAAGTAATGGTCAATTCAACACTACTGCATGCCAGTGTGATGTTTTAAACTGTTCATCTGAGTGCTCGTAAAGAAGAAACAACACAGGCTGGGAGACAGCTCGGCAGCGTGAGTGCCTGCCTGGCAAGTGCAGGGTCCCGAGTTCAATCCCGGGCACCACAAACAAAAGGGGGGAGGGGACAGGGCCAGCCAGATAGCTCAGGAGACTAAAGTGCCTGCTTAGGTGGATGCAGCGACCGGGTTTGAACCCTGGCGTGCCGTGCTGGCCCCACCCCGGGACACACTTAGACTAATTGAGACTGGCATGGTATCACACACCATTAATCCCAGTGTTGGGAGGCTGAAAACACGAGGATCACTACGAGTCCAATCTGTGTCCTGAGACCCTGTAGACCCTGTACTTAACTACACACATAAATGAATGCATGCCAGGGTCACAGGCCTGGGCACCACACCAGGCTTGTCTGTTGAGCCAGACCTTGAAGAGATTTGAAAGGGGAAACAATCCCGCTGTCCTCACCGAACTGTTCTTAGGTCAAGAAAATTACTTATTTTATGAAAACATTTTATTTATGTTACTGTGCTGTGTGTTTACTACCCTTATTTTTAAATAAAACCATGCGTATTTTAGCAATAAGCTTCCTGGGATAAAATCTGCATGTTGCTGGGCATGGTGTGCATGCCTGTAATCCCGGCACACAGAAGGCTGAGGCAGGAGGAACCTTGGGAGTTTGGGACCAGACGGAGACAGAGTGGGCTGGAGGCCAGCCTGAGCTGCATAGAGACCCTGTCTCAAAGAAAAAAAATTCTGCATGCCACGCAGCTCCCCATTGGGTGGGTTTCAACAGCTTAAACTTGCACAGTCCTCGCAGAAACCCTACACCCCTGCGCTCCGCCCTCAGTGCCTCGGCTGCCAGCCCCACGCCCACGCGTCTCTTCTCCACTTCGGTGGCCTCAGTGTGCTGGGCGTCTGGCCTACAGAATCAGAGGACAGAGAGTCCCGTGACAGCCACCCATCTTGAGCTGTTAGGACTGGGGCTCCCCGGACGTGTGCGGGTGACTTGTGTGGGCGTGGTTTCCCTTTCTCTTGGGCCTGTACCCTGGAGTGGGGTTTCTGGTGAGTCAATGAGTTCAGCGTTTGCAGGAAGCAGCAGACTGGCTCCCGAGGCAGCTGCGCCCCAGCGACCCTGCCCCCAGGCCCGCAGGGTCCTCCACACCCTGGCACCACCTGCCTGCGGCCCCCGCAGGTGAGGAGGGCGCCTGGCAGTGGGCCTGACCTGCACCTTCCTGGTGGCCAAGGGCCTCGAGCAGCTCCTCACATGCTTCTTGGCCATTTGCATAGATAAATGTTCTTGAGGTAAAAATGCTCAGTGTATAGTGCCTATCAATACAGACTACCCAGGAGGGCGAAGTAAGCGCTCCGCCTTCCTCAGTCATTTTCATGTGTCCAGCGGTCCGGGGACCACAAGCTCCATGAGCACTTTGAAGGCGCCTTTCTTCTGGCTCTGCGCCCACAGAAGGGTGAAGGAGGGCTTCTCGGGGCTCTGAGCTCCAAAGCAAAGCGGGCGGGGGCAGCAGACCTTCCCTGGTTATTCCTGTCCCCAAGGCAAAGTCTCTGTCCCAGGCCTACGTCCCAGTCTACCCCAGGCTTCTCTCAGGGGAATCCAGACCCAAAGGAATCTGAGGGACACTAGCTACAGGAATACCCGCTGGCACACACACGGGGAGGGGGGGGGTCCAGGGTTCTTACTTTTTTCTTCAACTGCAACTGGAGAGTGAAAGGGTCAGCCATTCGGATCCCAACAGGACCGGGGAGCAAGGAGAGAATTAAGCGTTAGACTCCAGCCATCGCAGTGTCAGGGAAGCCAGGTTCTGGAGCTCAGCCAGCTACCCACTTTTAGTACCAGCCACACTACTTGGTCCTTGCAGCCACCCAGCCAGCCATCTACATTTCTGC